CGCCTTTGGACGCATGCAACGCCTCACAGATGCATTCAAGATGCCGGTTGCACTTGATAAATCTTGGTGCTGGGGTACTGATTTGCCCATGCGCCAGGCGTGGCAAGGTATTTTGGCACATTACCAGGTGCCTCCTGACCAAGTGTCCATTGTTGACCACGCCAAGGACCTCGGAATACTCTTTAATATACACGTAAGATAGTTGCATGTGACTTTGATGCGAGAGTACAACTTGCTACTGACATGGCTTACCGGGTGTATCGTGTTACCCCTGATTTTGCTGTTCGTGCGAGACTCATCACGGGCGGAATTTGGTCTAGAGTGCTCTACGGGTTGGAGTTCCAGTTTATGGGACCGGCCAATTTTGCTAGAGCTTTGGTTGGCCCGTGGCACAATGCCTCGACAATGTTGTCGTGTGCGGCGGTGTCCTCATACTTGGTTGATCCGCTACTGTATGTGGTCATCAGTATGCTGCGAGCGCTTCAAAAATGGTACTGGAAGTCACCCGATCGTGTGATGGCCTTCTGTGAAAGGGTCCATGCCTTTGACGGTGATCGTGCTATCGGCTCGGCATCCTCATGTGCTTTGTATCTACGTGAAGTAGGCCTCACACTAGGTCCCACTGGTTTGGTCAGCGGAACGGCTGGCGTCAGTTTTCGCATCCAGTGTGTCGATAAAACTGAACTTGAGCGTTCCCTTCACTATGTGTGGACCTGTCGCATAATGCACGGTGTTGGTGGCCGTAAAGGAATTCCGACTCAGGTGCCCTTTGACTTGCAGACCACCCGTGAAGCTTTCAGAGCGTTGCCACGACATGTGCAAAAAAGTGCGGTCATGAATATCACCGGAGTCGCTGTGAGTGGCGCCCGCAAATTTCACCAATGGGGACCACAGTGGGCCGATCAATACTGTGTTCTCTGTCAATGCCAGGATACTACGCAACATCGAGTCTTCGAGTGCCCAATTGGTGATGAGTGCAGAAGTGGCCATTCTGAGACTGTCACATGGCTCCGTGACCAGCGACCCGAATGGACACATCTTGCGGTGGCTCACCAATGCCCAGCAGAACCCATCCTGCGGGCTGTCTTTCAGGGCAGGGAGTTGCCTACGCTTGATCCGCCACCATGTTGCGATGTGGAATGTTGGACTTTCTACACCGATGGCACCTGCCAGACCCCAGATGTGCAGGCAGCCAGCCGTGCTGCTTGGGGCGTGATACAAGATGTGTATCCAAGTGATGACGACCGCATCCGTGTCGCCACCGGCCCGGGAAATGGGACTGCCATCCCCGATGGATTGTTGTGTGCTGCGTGCGGACTATGCCCCGGACATCAGTCACCGCTACGGGCTGAACTGTGTGCAGTATGGGCGGCTATGCAACTTGTTCGTGTGCAGGACTCCGACTTGCCTGTCAATATTTACACGGATTGTCAGGCAGCCGTTGACTTAGTTGCCCGCCTTCACCGCTGGAAGTTGCGTGGATATTTGGCTCTGCCGGAACCATGTATGAATCATGACCTCGCGCTGGCTATCTGGGATTCGTGGCCTGTTGGTCACGTTGCTGTATATAAGATCAAAGCGCATCGTGACTCCACCAAGGCGGTCAGTACGTTGGACTGGTGGGGCATCACCGCCAACCACTTAGCTGACAGACTTGCAAATACAGCGCTCAGTACGGAGACATCTGCTGTGGTTGCTCTTGCTGATACAATTGCTTCCCACAAACGCCAAGAGCGTGACCAGCTTCTGCAAGCCTTGAATTTCATGGTTGAATTGGCCTTGGTACGTAAGGAAGCTATTGAGGCGCATGAGAAGGCCACTAGTGAACCTACGGATCCGGATCCTGACCCTGCCGTACCTGGTGCCGGGCTTGAACCGCGCCCCATTCCACGTGAGATTGCTGCCTTGCGACACCTGGGCACCTGGCTACCGACGACGCCTCGTATCCTTTCCTTCACAGAACTGACTCCACAACAGGCTGTCTGCTGTAACGTTGGTGGACGAATTGCTGATCTTGTGTGGCAGTGGCTCCATACCATACAATGGCCGGATGGTCCCTCTGCCCCCCATGATTGGGGAATCAGTTGGTTGGAACTTCTTTTCAACTTTTATCTATGTACTGGGCAACGCTTTCCGGTCCGAATTGACACGGTTCAGGGTCGTAAGACGCAGATCCAGCAGTATGTCCCATATGACTCCAATGAGGCAGTCGCGCGGCCCCTGCTATATCGAGCGTTGGAAGAGCAAATTTCTCACTTGAGAATGACCGTGGTGCACCTGCAGAACGTTACCACGTATAACTTGACACCTGTAGATTTGACACCGTCTTCGGTGTCGCCTACGTCTCTTCGGGTGTTGGGGTTCCACCGTGCTCGCCAAGGTTTCATTGCCCGACCAGGCCTGCGACAGGGACAGCGGACAGTTGAATTGGCTCACGCATGCTTGAAGAAGCAGGGTTATCCGACCAACCTCAATTTTGTGGTTGACATCCCCCTTAGGCCATATGACTTGCATTGTGATCGCGACTTTGGTGATCAAGACAAGAATTCGCAGAGCCGCAGGGGTATGCGTGACAAGATGCGACGTGCTTTACTGAAGGCCAGATAGGCCCTCCGTGGGGAGCAACTTCTTTTCTAGTGCATGCACACTTGTGTGGCAGATTCGCTGGCCATCATAGCTCAGATTGAGCTATCCTTTTACATGGCTTCCTCGCTGTATAGCGAGTGCAACCTTTGCACGCTTTTATGCGGGATGTGTGATGATCCTTTCCTTTTTTTGACTGGTGATCTGTCCACAATCGGACATTTTCCGCCGGAGTGGCGCCTCGTTTGTCCCGCCTTTTTGGGGTGGTTGTGTTCCCCCTGTTGCGGTTTTTTGGGTTCCTCCTTGTTGACGGGCTTTTCCTGCCTCGCGGGGCGTTTCCAATCGGATGGTGGCTCGTCTTATTCGACCACCCTCGTCTCACCATTTCAGCGTCAGGCTCACGCTACGGCCGGGGCCTGATGCAGCGGCCAAACAGTGCCGCATTGCAAAAAAGTGTAAAAAGTGCCCGCCGACTGCTGCACCAGCCCGGGGATAGACCCGCCGAAGGCTCCGAAGTGCAGCTTCGCGATTCCGCCCGGCGGCACCGAGAAGTCCAGGCGCGCCGTGCTCCAGACGCCCTGCGAGGCCGTGCCGAGGAAGGTGCCGGTGACGCCCACGTAGTCGTTGTCGGCCGCGCTGACGTACATCACCAAGTTGGAGGCCGTGCCCAGCCGGTACCGGCAGCCGAAGGAGTAGCGTCTCCCCGGCGTCAGCGTGTAGGTGCGCACGATGTTCCAGGCGAAGGCGCTCAGGGTCATGGCGTAGCCCTCCAGCTGGAAGCCTCCCACCGTGAAGCTGGCCGAGGCCACGGAGCTCTGGCTGTTGGAGCGCACCAGAAAATTGCCTAGCGTGGTGAGCGTGGGCTCCAGCAGCACCTTGCCCAGGGTGGCCAGCGTGACGTCGTCGGCCCCTCCGTCGAGGAACTCGTGCTTCAGCAGCAGCGCCGAGGCCGCCGTGTCCTCCTCCGCCTCCGCCGCGTTGCCGGTCTCCAGGGTTGCGTCCAGGATCTGGAGGCCGTAGACGTCCACCGTTCCAGCCGTCTGGTTGGGCAGGCCCGGCGCCTGGAAGTGCGCGCCGAAGTGCAGCTTCGCCACCCCGTTGGGCGGCACTGTGAAGTACATCTTGGCCGTGCTCCAGGCGCCCTGGTCGCCCACGAAGCTGCCGTACAGGGGGTCGTAGACGTTGTCTGCCTCGGACATGTACACCACGAAGTTGGAGGCCGTGCCGAGCCGGTAGCGGCAGGCGAAGAGGAGCTCTCGGCCCGGGGTCAAGTTGTAGGTGCGCACGATGTTCCACGGGTTCGCCGCCAGGGTCAGGGTGTAGCCGTCCACGCTCACTCCCGCGGTGTGCGTGGCCAGGACCACGCTGCAGCCGCTGCTGGGGCGAACCGTCCAGTTTGACAGCGAGACGTCCGTGGGGGCCAGGATCTGCTCTCCTATGGCGGCCACCACCTCGTCGGCCCCTCCGTCGTCCGGAAAGCGCACTGCTATCTGCAGCGCCGAGGCCGCCTCCGTGACTCCGAGCTTGCCGGCAAGGAGGCCGTCTACTTGTGCGATGGTGTAGTAGCTGAGCAGCGCGGCGGCGATGCTCGAGGCCGTCGCCGTGTCCTGGTCTGCGGCCGAACGGTACGCCACCAGCGCCGAGGTGATTTGGTTGGTTGTGAAGACGTCCTGGTCCGGGCCCGTCCGGTAGGCCAGCAGCGCGCCCGCGATGGCGGCCTGCGTCTGCGTGTCCTGCGCGCTTGCCGTGCGGTAGTCTCCCAACAGCGCGTCTACCTGCGCCGAGGTGTAGTAGGCAAGCAGCGCGCGCCGTGATGGCGCTGCTCGTCTCCGCGTCCTGCGCTGCCCCTGTGCGGTAGTCTCCCAACAGCGCGTCTACCTGCGCCGAGGTGTAGTAGGCCAGCAGGGCTGCTGTTATAGCGGCGTCAGTGCCCGCCGTGGAGTAGCAGTCTGCCGTGATGCTCAGCGTGTCGTCGCCGTTGGCCAGCGCAGCAGAGAGAGGAGCCCCCAGATGCAGGTTGCGAACGACGTTACTTCCGCGAACGAGCTCCCAAGTCGTGAAGCCCGCCCAGGCCGGCGCGTTAACAACTCCGCCGCTGCCAGAAAGCTGCAGGGCGGCGAGCTCCGCGAGGATTGCGTCGAGGGCGCTCTGGAGCGTGGTCTCGCTGGCCGAGAGCGCGGCGTTCGTGGCGTATGAGGCCAGCAGCGTCGCGTCGGCCTTGGCCCCCTGGAGCGCCGTGATGCTGGCGTCCCGGCTAGCAAGCTGCGCTGCGACGAAGGCCTCGGTGGCGAGACCCAGCAGGGCATTTGCTATCTTGGTGTCTACCTCCAGCGGCGTGTCCAACAGGTGACTGCGCGCAGGCCAGCGCCGCGCAGGAGGTCGCTTGCAGACCTCTAGACGGAGACCTGGCGGTTGAGATGGAGGTGTTGCGCCATAGTGAGGCCGGCCGGGTTTCTAATCTTGTGTGTTGCAAATAACGTTTTGAGCGGGGGTGACTATTTTTCATTGCTTGTGAGGAGCGTCTAGCTCGCGTGGACACAGTGGCGCGCAAGGTGATGGAGCTCTACACGAATCAGAAGGGCAAGCACAAGACGGAGTTCAGCGATCTGGAGTTGCAGTGCCTGGTGGGCCAGGGGCTAGTGTTTCCGCAGGCCTACGATGCCCTGACATGCGTATGGTGCCGCAAGCAAGAGAAGCTCTTCAGGCTTCAGTCGCTGGCGGCAGTGCTTCAGCACTTTGAGAGCCAGAGTCACGTCAAATCGCAGGACGACTGCGAAGTCACTCACACGCATCCCGCCCCGCAAGAGCAGCAGCCGCAGGTGGAGCAGAAGCAGGAGCCGACAGACGAGGAGCCAGTCAACGAGGAGCCGACAGACGAGGAGCCAGTCAACGACCCGGCGAGCTCCGGTCTGGAGTGGTCGAGCGACAAGCATCTCCCCGCCAGTGATGAGCTCCTAGAGCTGTCCAAGGAGCAACAGGAAGCAATTTTGCGTGGATCGGGCGATTTGTCGTTCAATATGTCTCCGTGGATTCGAGCTCTCGTTAGCATTGTGTACGACTTCAACGAGGGGCTGCCGGAGTACTGTGCAGAGCAAGTCCTGGTTCTTTCGAACTGCGTGCCTGCAGAGTTTCAGCAGACCTTGCAGCACCAAACCACCAAGCATGGCGCGTCATTGAGTTTATTTGCAGCCTCCAGAAAACCACTCCCGTCACCAGCAAACCGGTCCTCTTGAAGTTTCGTGGAAATCGTGTGGAGGAAGAGGTGCTGTCAAGCCAGTCCAAGCTGTTGGGGATTGGCTACTCGTTGCTGCAATCGGCGCTGGACGCATGGGCTGTTGCGGCGGGCCACGACAGCAAGTTCTGGGATGCGTCGGACGTTTTCCTCATGATCGCCAATTGCCAGGCTATCCAGCGAGAGCAATCTCTACGCAAGGATGCGCGCCATCCGGAAAGCAAGTTTCGGATCTTGCGCAAGTTGGCTGACGGCAAAGAGGTGTTGGCATTCCGCGTGATTCCCACTGCTGCCCGGCAGTTCACCAACCCAACCATTAACCAGTACTATAACGGCAACAGTATAAAGCTGCATCGAGCGGTGGTGCAGTCGCAGAGCAGTCACAGCCCGCAGCAGCAGCCAGCCAAGAGACCAAAACACGGTGTTCCCGAGGAGCCATGGTCTTGGCTGCCTGCTTGGCGCTCCGGCTGGCATTATGGCTGGCACAGCAAGTGGGAAACCGGGTGGCAAGACGGACAGCACTCCGGGTGGGAGAGCGGGTGGCAAAGTCGCTGAGAGCCCGACGTCAGGTCCAAGGCCAGAGGCGTGTGACGTCAGGTCCAAGGCCAGACGCGTGTCTAGGTTGTCTAGCTGGCTTCCGCGTAGTTGATGCTTCCATGGCTGAAAATTGGCTGTGTCCGTGCTAGAATTAGGGTCACATTGCGTGCCCTGCTTGTAAGAGCACGGAGTGTTCACCAATAGTATTCTGCGGTTCGCAGCGACAAAGAAGCTTGGCACAGGTTTTGCGCGCACTTCACAGCAGCCTTTGTGCAGCCAGGCGTTGCGCGCAAGACATTTATTGCATGGCAGCAGTGTTTGTGCAATTTCGGCGGGAGAGCAGTCTCTGCATGCTAGCTCTGTAGCCTGTAGTCTCATGTGCAGCAGACCGGCGCAGTCTCATGTGCAGCAGACCGGCGCATCGAGCTCAGCAGCTCCGGGAAGCGTGCTCAAATTTGAAAAGGCAGCTGAGGGAAACCAGCAGCTCGACAGATGCGAGCCCCAGGAGCGACGCGGCGCGTCGCCGGATCACTCCGCATCTTCGAAAGTGCATTCTGGCTTCGTTTGCCATGGGAGGTGTGGCGGCCGCGGAAGAGTTTGCTGGCGCCAAGTTGGGCGACGCTGAGCTAGCTGGACAGTGCGTCGCGGCGGCAAGTCTGGCTGACATTGGACGAGCTGGAAGCTCTGATGCACGAGACTGGAGGCTGGCCCGGAAGCAGGGCGCCAAAGCGGCGGTGGCGAAAGCTGTAGCTGCGCGCAACGCTGCTGGCTACGCTCCGGCTTCGCTAGAGGTGTTTGAGATGTATCAGCGAATGCTTCCAGAAGACGAGCGGTTGCAAGGCAGCACTCGCGGCAGAAGACTCTGGACGCAGCGGTTTTGCAAGCAGTGGAAGTTCGTGCGTCGCAGAATTGGTCTGCATCAGGTGGAGCTGACTTTGGCGCAAAAACGCGCAAAGGCACCTTGTCTTCAAGTCTTTTTTTTGGTGTTTTTGTTATGCCTTTGCACTTGTATTTCGTGACCTCTAAATCGATTTTGGGCTATAGTGAAGATTCAACTAGGCAGGATGGCTTCGTTTTTTTTTGCGGTGTTTGCAGTGGAGTTGGGTCTGTCAGGAAGCTAGACTGCGCCAGCTTTTTGAGCTTCTTAGTGACGCCAAAAATGGGTACATTTTTTAGCCCCAAAAAGAGGGTCGTAATGAACTACCACTAGCTCATAAAAATGGCTGACCCACAAACTAGGTTCATTACTTGTGCTCAAAAATGGGTATGCAGGCACAAGTGTATTGGCAATGGCTCCGACACACTCAGCTGAAAGCTCAGCACCAGGGCAAGCCTTTGCTTTTGATTAACATCGACGAGACGCCGATTCCGTATCACATCAAGCCAGTCACAGGAGTCGTGAAGAAAGGATTTGGCGGTCAAATTGCAGTTTCAACAAACGAGAAGCGAGGAACGGCTTCGCTTTTGGCAACTGTCTGCAACCGGCCGTCTCTGCAGCATCTCATGCCTTGCTTTTTACTCTGCAACACTCATCGTTTAGCGGTTCGAGTTCGCAATCGCCTGGTGTTGCCAGACAACTTTGTGGTGTGGCGATGCAAGTCGTCGTGGAGTAATGGCGCCTCCATGATGCGCGTGGTGAGCCGCATCAATCGAGTGTGCGAGCCGTACAAAGAATTCTGCCAGCCAGTGCTGCTTCTGGACACAGCGAGTGCTCACATTGCGCCGGAGACTTTGCGCTTTGCGAGGGCATGTTGTTTGGAAGTCGTCATCATTCCAGCTGGCATGATGCTGCAGGTCAGACGTGTTTGTCTTTGCCTCTGTCAAGCAGCGTTTAAGTCAGGAGTTTCAGCGCATGAGAGTGACGCAGCAGCAAGTGACAGTGCGCGACTGGATCCAGCTTCTGGCCAGGGTCCCTGGCTGGCTTCAAGAAAAGTCCTGGACGGAGGCATTTGCAACCACTGTCTCGAAGGCGGGTGCTTGACGAATCATCTAGAAGCTCTGCAGATTTCTCACATTACCAACAGAGCGCGGCCTACGTTCCAGCAGCTGTGTTTGGTTTGGCCACGGACGCGTTTTGGCATGCAACATTATCAAGCACTGTTTGGAGGTCGGTATGTTGAGCATGCAGTCCGAGTTGAGTAGCCAGCAAATTTGGACAGGACGAAGTCCGGTCATTTTTTTTTTGCGCTGCCAACAGGCCGAGGTTTGCTCGTTTGTTTCGCTACTGCAACGCTACTGTACGCCCAGCAGCGGCTCAGCCGCAGCGGCAGTGTCGGAGCGGGCCCCAGAGGCGGGGGGCCCCACGAGGAACTCCATCACGAGGTCGAAGGGCGCGGAGCCTGGCGGAGCGTAAGCGCCCACTCCAGGTTGCGCCAGTGTCCCAGCGGGCGCGAGTTGTGAGCGTCGAGACCGTAGACCTTGTCGTTGTGAAGGGCGAGAGCGACTTCTTCTCGACGGTTTCCACGGCGATCTCGTGCGTGCGGCTGCGCAGCTGCGCGAAGGCCGCCCTGCGCTCGCTGCCTTCCTCCAGCACCTCGCTGTACTCGAGATGCCGGACGTTGGTCACCGCCTTCTTCGGCACGCCCTTGATCTTGCGCTTCGCGCGCGCCGTCGGGCTGGACTGTGAGGATGCTGTACATCTTGGAGCGCAGGCCCACGTACTCCAGGATCCTGGCGGGAAAGGTCTCGTCGCCGAGCTTGCCCAGCTGGCCCATCACCTCGATGGCCTTGGCGCGCGCCGCTGCAGAGAGCGCGCTCAGGTCCCTCTTGGGGTCCTTGGACTTGCCGGCCACGTCGAAGAGGGTGGCGCCGTTCAGGTTCGCCTCGGCCGTGGAGCGGGTCCTGCAGCTTGAAGATCTGCACCATCACGGAGTCGGTGTCCGTGAAGAGCAGCCTCATCTTCGGGAAGAGCCTCCTCATGTGGAGGTAGTAGGCCTTCTCCATCATGAGCTTGGAGAGCTGCAGCGTGCGGGCGCCGACTTGGGTGGGCACGCTCATGAGGCCTTGCTGCGGTTCGTCTTGAGCGTCTCCACGAAGGCCAGGAACCCCTCCGAGTCGTTGATCTGGAGCTCGAAGTTCGTCACGGAGCTCTTGCCCACGGCCCGCTCGAACTTGGCCGGGTCCACGTAGGCGTTCGTGTTCCTGAACTTGTCGGGGTTCATGCAGCAGCGGCCGAAGATGGCGTTCTGGGTGAGCTTCACCACCTTCTCGGCGACCACGCTCCCCGCCGTCTTGAGCTGCCTCCGCTCGCTGTGCTTGAGCTCCATGAAGCCCGCCATGAAGGGGCTGCAGGCGAAGCGGTAGGCTCTGTGCAGCCTCCAGATCCTGGCGCCCAGCACGTCCCGCAGGAACTTGAGCCGCTCGCCGTCCACGCCCTCCTCTACGTGCATGCCGAGGAAGGGCACGAGCTTCTCGCAGGGCGACGGGGACGCTCCGCCATGTCCGCGGTGTGCGGACCGTACAGGCCCTTCCCGACCTTCATGCGCGCAGCAGGAGCCCAGTCCAAGTGGTCGTGCACCTCCGGGGGAAAGTCGTAGTCCACGAGGAGCAGGTAGCTCACCTCCTCCAGTTCAGCCCCGAGAGGCACGTCTTGTGCAGCCAGCTCAGTCTTGCTGCGTTTTCTTCCGGTTTTCTTCCGGCAGGGCGACCGTCACGCAGGGGCCGTTGGGCATGGGCAGCGTCATCGCGGCCGGGTACATGGCGTTGAAGTCCAAGTACAAGATCCAGCTGACGGGCTCTTTGGTTGTAGTCCTCCTTGCCCAGCTCGGGGTTGTTGGCTTGAGCGAAGGGCTGGAAGATGCAGCTCAGCCCACCCATGACAGAGGACCGCACGTCCGCGTAGGCCTGCTCGTCGGTGATGAGGTGAATGGGAGTCTCGCGAGTGCCGCAGCATGGCGTCCCAGGCGGCCCCGGGCAGCGTGACGTAGTGGATGGGGTCGAGCCCCAACTGCGCCCGGAAGGAGTCCCGGTAGCTCTCCATCACGGCCAGGGCAGGACGTCGGTGTGGAGGTAGCAGTCGTGGAACTCTCGGAAGGTCTCCCACCCCATGAGATTGGCGGTGTTGACGGCCAGCCGGTGGTCCTCTGCGCTCACCGCCTTCCCAGCCAGCACGCTGTCGTAGCAGTGCTGCTCCAACACCGCGGGCATCTCCCACGCCTCGGCGCCGCAGAAGTGCTCGAAGGGCATGGGCAGCTTGCGCAGGATGCAGTCCCACGCCTGCTCCAGGTCGCAGTGCGTCCGCTGTTTGAGAGGCCGTCTTTGGGGCGGAGAGTCGGTCGGCGTGCGCAGCTGCAGTTCGGGGTGAAGCGAGGCCATCAGCGGGAAGAGCTCCGGCAGCCGCTTGTGGGTGCAGGCCCTGAGGTCGTCGATCATGCTGGCCAGGCTCGTGGGGAAGACGTTCATGTCCACGAACCTCAGCGGGCCCCAGCTCATCTGCAGCCCGACTTGCAGAGGACTCGGAGGCAGAGGTGGCTGTAGTCGCCCTGCTTGATCGGCCTGCAGGGCGCACCAGCCGCTGAGGGGCCTTGGCGCGGCCTTGGCCCTGCCCTTGGCCTTGGCCTTGGGTGCGGCCTTTGGCGCGGCCTTGGCCATGGGCTCTTGGACTCGCTTCCTTCTTGATCGCCTTCGCTCTCGGTGCCCTCGTTGTTGCTGTCCTTGCCGAGCTCTTCGCGCGGTGCCCTGCTGACAGGAGAGCCCATCGTGGCGATGTAGCGCAGCAGGAAGTGGAAGTCGTAGCCGCCCCCGTTGTGAAAGACCACTGGGATGGTCTTGGGCGTCTGGGCCGCGATGTTGCAGGAGTGGCACAGCGCCGTGGCAGTGGTGGAGCTTCTTGTCAGCGGTCTTGAAGGACGCGAGGGTCTTCCTGGAGCGGGACGGTGTCGACTACAACAAGCCCCTCATCCGCAAGGGGCCGAACAACTACATCCTGCTGCGCAACGGGCGGAAGCTCGTGCGCTCCTTGCAGGCGGAGAGCACCGGCTGACCAAGCTGGGCAAGAGCTTCTTCCGCGACAAGTTCTG